CCTACAATACCAATAAGTAAGGTAAAATATCTGAAGTAATATTTCTTTTGTCTAAACCCTTTCCTCAATGAACTATATTTAACACCATAATTATTTAACACCGTTAACTCTTTCTTTTGCCTAAATCCTTTCCTCAGTGAACTATATATATACTTCCTAAACTAAACAGAGAATACCATCACCACCTAAACATTTCAAAAGCATCACAAAAATGAGTAACATCAATTTTATACCTGATTTAAAACCTAAAAAAAATCAATATAGAAGATAAAAGTGAAAGTGATATGACTTTAGAAGCAATACCCTTCTCCTATTGGAGAGACCATGGAAATGGTTTTCGTGAATGCAAAAATATATTCTGACTATTATGTATTATCAATATATATTTTGAGTCATTTTTGTTATGTATCAGATATACACGTTTTTTCCACAGGGAGATAAAATCTATGCAACAATTAAGAAGGAACTGGTTTCCCAATTTGATTCTTTCTTCAGCCAAGAATATTCTAAACTAGTGGTATGTCCGCGCTACGCGCGGATTGTTTGCAATTTGTTAAACTATAACAATTTGTTAGTAATTATCCTAGTTTAGTATGAAACTTTTGGGTTGATACTTGTTTATAAGTATTTCCAATGTTTTAAAAACCAGATTAGACTGGTCGGACCGTAACTCACTCTTCTAACCGATTATTGTTCGTACTAAAAAATAAAATTTGGGTTAAACCAGTAAATAAGGTTGAAAACCGGTCAACTCATTAAAACTGATGATTTAGTTCGATATTAAAACACAATTTTTCAAACCTAAGGTAAAAGTAAAAAATATCAAAGTTTTAAAATTTCATTTTCATTGTATTTTTATGTTATTTTTTAAGTTTCGTTTGATTTTCATATCATTTTAGATTCTAATACTGATATAAAATTATTTGATAGTTATACACACACACATATATATATATAGTTAATTTAAAATTAGATTACTATTTAAAATTTGGTTGGACCAGTCCGACCATTAACCTAATTAAAATGCCAAGTCAATGTACGGCCCAGTTCTTAAAACATTTGTTTTTCATGTGTTTTGAAAACTGAACCGGCCGGTTGGATTTGTTATTGATCTAAATAAATTAATTTCATAATATTTTATATTATTTTAAAGTTTTTATTTTATTTTCATATCATTTTTAGATTCTAGATTCAATGTTTGAAAACATACCGAACCAACTGATTGGACCGGCTGAACCGTGACTCGCTCTTCTAGCAGATTCATGGGTTGTGATAAAAACCAGATTTAAGTTAAAACTGATAAACCCGGTCTGTCAAAGTCACTAAAACTGGTGACTTGGTTAGATATTAAAACATTGTTTTCTCAAATCAAAGTCAAAACTAGGAAATTTGTAAAGATTTCATATAGAATTCATATATTTTTAATATCTATATAAATAAATTAGTTTTCATTAAAATTTCATATTATTTTTGATGTTTTCATTTTCTTGTCATATCATTTCTAGATAGTTTTATAAAAGTAAAGCATAGTTATACATTATAGAGTGATTCTATTAATGATATAGAGTTTTATAAAAATAATTTTATAGGTATGTATAGTTACTCAATTTAAAATAAAATTAAAATTTGAAACCCGGTTGGACCGACTGACTATTGACCCAATTATAATGTCAAGTCAGTGTACTGTCCGCGGTTTTTTCTGTCTACGTTTGATGTCTCTTTAGCATTCAAGGATAAATGTTTCTTTGGCATATATACCTTTTGAGATTTAGTGGTGTGAATCGACCTGAACCCCCACGACGTTTGATTCTCATTTGGAAGAAAGAGATGTAACGTACTCTAATTGACTCTCCCAGCATATAGACAATAACCTTTTTAGACAAGGACAACAGACTAAAGAAAGAATCTTAAGGCTTGGAGATTTTAACACAAAAATCATTAACTTATACTCCACCAATTAATGAAGTTTTTTTTTTGGTGTAAATGATAAAAATCAATGAAGTTATGCCTTGCAATATCCTTGGATTAGCTTCACTTGACTTCACCAAACAAATCAGAAATGTTCTTCTATTGCTATTCTTAGGTTCAAGAATGTAATCTTCTTCCCTCTAGATCTCATTTCATGAAACGGTGCTGTGTCGTAATGGTTTCAAGAGTGTAATCTTCTGAGTCTATGTCGTAATGGTTTGCTTCAGCATTATTTGCCGGTACATCAACTTCAGAGCTATAACTCATTTCGGCGATAACTTTTCATTCGACCCTCTCAATTCCGATAACTGCTTCCTCCGCTGCTTCGTCTGGGTTACCTAGTCAAGACGTACATCGTATCAGAGAGTAGTAGAGATCCCACAGACCAGCGTCTTCTGTCAAAGTTAACCAAGAAGCCAAATCATCTTTTAACGATGCTCAACCTAAAATCAACGCAAACAAAAGGAACCGGGATGGTAAGTTCATTTTGAAACCTTTTCTCACAAGCTATTTAAAGAATGTCAAGAAAAACCACCCGAGTGACAACAAAGTTGACGGAGCCAGCGATTAAGGTTAATGAGGTCTGTCACGTATTCCTGTTAAGACGTTTAGTTTCTAGCAAAAAAAAGAGGTCACCGTCTCAAACAGATGATGTAGTCTCCCATAATATATATTGACTGCAATTTTCCAAACACCATCTTAAACACATGATGACCAGTGTCTCATTCTATGTAATATGTGCCCTCATTAAACTCTCATACCCTCGACATGTGTGAGTGTAAGATCAAGCAACAAAAGTTTGCTCAGAAAAGAAAAGACGAAGAAACAATAGACATGTTGCACAAGTTTACAATATACGGTTAGGAGAGATAAATCCATGTAAGAAAACACACGGCCAATGACTAAAATTACTCAGTGTATTTACATATTTGAATCTGGAAAGCTCTTACCTCTCTATCACAGTCGTAACAAATGTTCAATATAAGCAATGCCTCCACATCAATATCCTGCAAATCAATCCAAGTATGAGAAGATGATATTCGAAAAGTTAAACACAATTGAAGATATGGCCTTGCATTATCCGATGTTTCCGACCATATCGTATGGAACTGGAACAAATCATTAGCAAAGATTCTTTCAAAGTAAAACCTTAAGGTCATATCTTATATATATGTATTTTCTGATACTGTATTTCTCCTTTACCATTGACAGCTGAACAGTTATGTGATCCCAGATGGATTGTTGGCTGCATATAGTAGACCATAAAAGACAAAGATTGTAAAGACTCTATGTAATAAAGAAATCAAATATGTTTTCATGAAAGCCACAGACCTAAGCATGCCTTCTTTGAGTTTGATATGATCCATCTTCACCCGCACATAAGCCAATTCTCTACCAGCATTAGGGTTGATTGTCAGCTGGTCAAAGTCATTGCAATGACAAATGACAGTTAAAGACCAAGCTTTAAATCTAGAAAAGAAGTTTTAAGAAAAAAAGAGATTAAGAAACCTACAAATTCTATAAATTCACTGCCACAAAAGCCAACAGCAGCGTCGTTTATAGCAACTTGTCTCCACGTCTCAGAGCTCCTATTTCTCTCTAACATTCCTCTTTCTTCTATTTGTGCAGCTTGACGCCAATCATCTTCTGTTAATTGCATTAAAGATTAAACAGAACATATATGATATGTCAGTCTATTGCTTGTTGATATCGAACTTCTTAACTTAATATAAGCCTAAGATGGTTACTCTCGAGCAAAAAGTCTAACCGCTTAATTCACTTCACACATCATATTAACAGATGCTACACGCCCCCTTTTTTTGGAAAACCAAAACCATCCTAAAACCAAGAGCATCTTTAACTGAGTGGGACGTATTGCGACTATGTAAGTCCCGTTGTTAAATGCATTAGAGTCGCAGACTTTTCAGCCTAGTATCAAACTGGTTTAAAAGCTTGCAGAGCATTAATGAAAACGGTGGTGTTTGGTCGTAGTTACCTGCTTGTCAAGGAGGAGCATGTTGACATGGTGACACCCATGAAATTGCTCGCCTTTCTTAAGTTTCTTACTTCCCAAAATCTGAGCAGCGGACCTCAGCGGTGGTTGAACAGATCGGCAAGAAGAGTAAACGGATTTTCCATTTATGGATCTGATGCTTGACAGAGAGAGATCTTTGGATTTGGTTTTGGTATGACTGTTCATCCCAAGAGACAAAGACGTTTAGAGGGTAAGATTCGGATGATTACTTTGGAAAATGATATGGTCGATTTAACTGGAGAGAGTGGGAGGAATGATGCATCACCTTTAATGCTTGGATTAATGTTGCCCGTTACAGAGATGAACGCTGTAGAGAGATATGAACAGTGACTGTCTCTAAAGCTACACCAGCTATAATCAGACAAACCTTAACAACAGGTGGGCGGGCCTCATTAAAAACAATAAAGCCCACTTTAAGAATCAAGACGAGAAATCTGTTTCAAAAGCTAAACAAAAGCTTGCCACCTGTCATTATTTGCCCCATGCTCTCTTGATGATGTGGATAGCTTAAGAAGAGACTAAACTCAACTTCATTTATAAAGATTTCTTTTTAACTTTAATGCATCTATCTAATTACACAATTTTTTTTCATAAAAAATAATATAAGCTTACATATATAAACTTGCACATTATAATAAAATATTTTATTATATCTAGTATTTATGATTTTTGACTTTTTAATAACTATAGATATTAGGTATTAATGTTTTTTTAATTCACTTACTCCATACAGGGTGCGGATTATCACCTAGTAAAACTCAAAACCAAAGTAAAAGAGGAAATATGAAATGTTTACAGCTTATCTAAATCATCGGAATTGTCACGGAAAACTATATCAATAACATCTCCAATACATTCCTAACAAAGCCATAAGAAAATTTTTGTTAAATTTATTCAATAGCAGTTAATACTTCTCATCATTTCTAACTAACAATCAATCTTTTTCTTTACAATCTACCAAATTTAGTTATAGTTTATAGGGAACAAATTTGAAAATTCATTACACATAACAAAAGACCTGAAGTAGTATAATATACATTTTAATTAATAAATTCAAAAATGGAACAATAAAACAATGCATAATTTTTGTATCTACTCAACATGAATTATAAAGTAAAGATATATACTTAGTTAGCCCTTTTTCAAAAACAAAAAGATAAGATATATACTTAGTTCTTCTTTGGACGGCCACACTTGACTTGCACAGCAAGCGTCTTCACAACTTTGGGACATGAATCCTTCTTATCCTGCTGGAAGGTGGTCTTGTTAACCGGAATCACACACTCTGCTTTACCCAAACAATACTGCAGCAACAAAGAAAATCACTCCTAGTTACTTCTGTAGCAAGTAACATTAATTACAAAAACTAGCGCCAGTTTATATTTTCTTACCTTCTCGACGACTTGTTTAGAGACAGGAGCATTGCAAGAACCAAGGGTGAAGTTTCCACAAGTCCCACTAGGGTTTCCGAAGCTAGCAAATTCCACTGCGGAGATCTTCTTAGTTCCGGAACATTTGAGATTAGCCGTGAGATGCACATCATCAGTGATGGCCTGGACATTGTCATTCTTCCTAGTCCAGTGACGGACACTAGGAGTGTAGTCTTCTCCAATGTAAGAGCACACAGTGTCTCTATTGATGATGACAAAATCGATAAGCTCTGGCTTCACATTTGGTTCTTCCTCGAATATAACCAGAAGATTTTTCTTGGGCTTCAAGAAAGACCTAGGGATATGATATTCGATTTGTGTTGACTGGCCTAAAGGAGATAAAAACGACATCCAATATCGACCAACACCTTCTCCGTTAACCCAAATCAAACCCTTTCCCATTCCATTCATCCTAATTGCTGTAGGGCTTAGGCTTTCTGGGGCATCAAAGTATGTCTGCAACATATATTTCAAATATTGTTCAGTAGATCACATCTTGCTATCTAAAATTATCTCTATTATATGATGGCTTGTGATCATATATATCATATTTTCTGGGAAGTTTAGTAACTCCACCTGGTACCATGTAAGTCCTGGTGCCTTTCCTGAGAATTTCTGCCATTTAACCTTCTTCAATCCTTTATTGGTGTGGATATCGAGCTTTTCGCCTTCCATACCCACCTGTAGATTTGGAAACCAGATCAACATCGCCCTGATGATTGAGAGAGTAAGATTCATGACAAACCTTGTTTCCCCATTTGCTTTTCTCAGTGAGATCGAGTGGTCCAGAGCTCAATCCTAAGATGGAAACACTACGTGGACCTGTGAATCTATGCTCCAGATAAGATCCACTGTCCTGTTGGCACAAAAACATCATAGATATAATTATTAAACTTGAATGTTTTTGTTAGTATATAGATTTTTGTAAGAACATCTATGTTTCTTACTGGAAATCCTGTTAAAACCCCTAGCATGGTAAGGTGATTCTCTCCTTCTTTTAGTGCAATCGGCTTCTGAAAGACGAAACTCTTCTCATCATGGCTACCATGTCCCTTTCCTGAAACAAATCATTAATTATTCCAGTACTCTAATCATATCGTCTAAATGTTGTAGTTTCTCAATCTTACCAAGGTATTCTCCATTGAGCCAGACATGCAATGCGTGGCCAAGACTAGCAATCCTCACAGTAGGCTTACCTCCTTTCTTCTTAAGGTCACTGTCATCTATCTTGAAGCTATATATAGAAAATCAATCAGATAAAATTCTGATGTTTCTTTTTGATATTTTCTTCTTAAAATTGTGATATATAAAACAAATCCACTTGTACGCTTACTTCGTTGTGTACCATCCGTAATCAGACTCGTCTTTGGTCAAGCCATAGAGCTCAACGGGGACGTAAGAATCACCTTTAAGCTCAATTGGAACGGTCTCGGTGAAGACCTTGAAATCCAACTTCTTATTCGCCTTCTTTGACTTCATATAGTTCCTTGCAGTGTGATGAGAGACAATCTGAAACATATAGCACCAAAATAAAGTGTAATTTCAAGACTCGTTTTCTTCTTTAAGAAAATACTTGATTTGCAACAATATTTTATATTAATCATCACCTCTCCGGTGCTATACACAACAGTTTTGCAGTCAGGGAGAATACTAATGGAGCGAGGAGGTATAATGTATTCCTTTCCCCTGAATGTGATTTTTTCCGCAGATTCTGTGTTATTGTTAGCTAGAAACGCTGCACAAACTTTAGTTCCAGGCTGCTCGTAGTATCTTATCTGCAATTACAACAATACATCAAAATCAAGAAACTTAGCATTTCTTTGTATTCTGTAAGAAATATTCAAATGTTTGGTTTTGTCAATTACCTCAGTGTTATTGTCAGGCTTCTCAGTTCGAGATTGTCCCCAGAGAAGTGCCTTCTTGCACAAGTTAAGGGCGTTGTGAAGATGTTTTAGGTGACCGTACTTAGGCTCCTTTTCCAATCCTATGCGTTACAAAAAGGCAGACGAGAAAAATACATTATTACAATTGGATGTTATACAGTGACAAAAAAATACAATTGGATTTTATTAATTAAAAAAATTATGTGCGACTCTTTTTTATTTTACCGAATTCATCAAGAGGGGCATCATCATAGTAACGAGTGGTTACATAATGGGCAGAAGTTCTTCCAAAGTTAGTACCTCCATGATACTACAATACAAGACAACAAACAATTTGATAACATTCTTCCAACATATATATATATATATATATATATATATATATATATATATATATATATATATATATGAGTTTTTGTAAGATTATTTTTATCCTTTTACCATGTAGTAGTTAACATGGCTTCCATTCTTGGAAAAGAACCGGGCAACAGAAAAGGCTATATCTTCTACAGATCTTTGCACTGGAGGATCGCCAAAAACGCGGAACCTACAATCAAAGAACAAGAATCTCTTCAAGTTTGACCTCATTGTCTTTTGTTTCTAGTTGATTCAAATTAAGGAGCTCAAGTGAAGAACTCACTGAGTAGTCCAATTCTCTGTCCATAAAGATGGCTTGTGGTCTCTGTTGGGACCAGGGAACGTATCACCACAATGTCTTCCATTACAAGCGTTGATCTATTTCATGATCAAAGTTCTTGATGTAAAAATTGTACGATTACCTTGTTATAATTATCAAGTAATGTGATGGAAAGATGACTTACCATAGGATCAGGAGCATCATTTTGCTTACACATAACCCATGGGATCCCCAAATTCATAGAATGTACCAATTTAGATGCCCACTTAATGTAGTTTGATCCATCATTTTTATATGCACGTTGAACCGCACTATACTCATTCTCTATCTGAATCCAGTTTTCAGTATACAAAAGTTTTTAATAGTTCGAAATTCATATATAACTAAAAATTTGTTTTGGGGGTCAATGATACCTGTCCTAATATGATGGGGCCTCCTTGTGAAGCAAAAAGCTTCTCCTCTTTCATCTTATCAAGTATCACCCTAACATACCTCTCTGTATGTTCCTGCAGTTTCAGCAAATTATTGTAAACCTTTTGATTGTTCTATTATCACGCTGATATAAACATATCAAACATATAAAATACCTTGAAGGGTTTATTGTCGGTACGGAAGAAAATCCCGGGAATTTCTCTAAGCCAGTAAGGAAGTCCTCTGATAGTTCATCATAACCATAACCATGAAACATGTCAATAAGAACTCAAAACATTTATAGCATTATGAATAAAAAAGATGAAACATGTCAATAAGAACTCAAAACATTTATAGCATTATGAATAAAAAAGAGCTAAAGAACTTACCCATGAGTCCATTCAGCCTGAATGAAAGGTCCAAGCCTCAAGGTTACGTACATACCATTCTTCTCAATCAATTTTATAAACTTTACCAGATTGGCTCTACCCGTAAAATTGAACTGTCCCAACAAAAGAAAAGCAATCCTCAACAATGATATAACTTTTCTTATTATTAAATTTTTGCTTTATTCTCGAAACATACCTTCCCCTGTTCAAGTTCATGAAAATTCCAAAACACATATGTTTGAATAGTGTTCAGACCACCTTGTTTTGCTTTCTTGATAATTTTGGGCCACATCTAAAACAGAATATTCTGGATAGATAAGTACAAAATTAAATAAAAGATTAATGAAAGGATTTATGGAGGATTTACATCAGGAGTGCTACGAGGGTAATGGATGGAGCCAGAGTAAAGCAATTCTCTTTTTCCATTGATGATTATAGATGTTCCATCATAAGTTACTTCTTTCTTCGTGTTCTTTGAGGTTGCCTTCTCGTCGTTCTTGCTTGACAGAGCTCCAGGGAAATAGAGGAGAACCACGAGAATGGCTAGTAAAAGCCATGGATGATTTGAAGAATGTATTCTCATTTGACTATCTTGTTTGTCTTTTTTTCTTTTTCTTGGGACAATGAAATAAGGTTTGTTGTAAAGAACTCTCCTTTTTATTTCCTAATTTTCCCCTTTCATTTTGTTTTATTTGTTACGTTGAACTTTCTAATTTTAAGGTTTTTTGTTTGGAGAGCCTAATTTGGCGGGTATACACACAACCACTTACCTCACCATCAAAAAGGAAGAAAAAAAATGTGAGCCAATGCTTATGTTGAGGAAATGCGTAAAACTTTGTTTAATGGAGAACCATTGATTGTTGTTCTCATTAAACTTAACTGAGGTGGAGTCTTTAATCAAAATCATTTGTCAGCGAAACCAAGGGTCGTGGAAACTGTGGTGGACGGTTAAAGGAGGTATTATTTTCCTATAAATTCAATTGAAGTAAGATGCTTCGATTGTTTTCTGATTCATTTTATTGTTCCTTATATATTTTTTTTCTGGTGAAAACTGTATGACCACGGTCATAGGTTTCTATAATCGTTTGTAATCAGTTTTTTAGTTACAAAAATCATTTGTTAAAAGTATATGATACACACATATCCATGATCTAGTAATTCCTTATATATTAATTGAGATTTTTTTTTAAAAAAAAGTTATAACCTCAATTTTATATTAATTACAAAATGATTTTGCTTATATGTAAGGGTAATTTGGAATGATATCCATTGTAAAATTTAAATAAAGTATATATACATAGCAAGTAAAACACCATGATATTTATATAATAATTGCCATATTACAATTGACATGTACAGAGTTGTATTTTTTTCTTTTCTTATAAATATGTTCTTTCTTTCTATTTTTAATTACTTTTAATTTATGTTAAGACAATTATTGAACTTTATAGTTTACATAATAAAAACATAGACTTTTTCTACATATAATATATTTTGAAACTTTGAAAACAAACATGTATTTTATAAATTTTATATAACATTTCATAATCGTGATAAATCTATACTATTATATATATATATATATATATAGTATAGTTAAACTTATGTGTAAAATGAGATATAATATTGGTATGTTTCATTATATTTTGAAATATAGAATAGTACTTTTTTTTTTCTCTCTCCCTCTCTCCTCCTGCCTTTCCTCCCTCCTTCCGGCATACGCTCTCTTTCCCTTCCTCCCTCTCCTTCCCTCTCCCATCCTCTCTCTCTATCTGTCTTTCTTTCCCTCCCTCTCTCTCTCCCTCCCTACCTCCCTCCCTCCCTCCTCTTTTCTCCTTTTTTCCCTCTCTTTTCCTTTCATCCTCTTCACAATCTGTTGTTATTTAGTAAGGTTATGTACTATATATTTCTTCACAATCTGTTGTTATTTAGTAAGGTTATGTACTATATATTTAATAAATATAGCATAATGCAATATTGATAATTATATTAACGAACTTTCACATGTGGGAAAAGAAAACATTATCCACTTTCATACAAAAAGACACATATATCAATACATGCCTATATTTTTAATAAATGGTATTTGAATATTAAACAAATTAATCCTATATGTTAACATTTTAATTCTTTTTATTGTTGATGTGGCATTTTCAGAAAGACTTTAACTAAGCCTTAGTCTAATATTAATGTGCTCTAGAGTAATACATACAGACAAAAACATTAACCCCCTAGTATGACATTTATTTTTGAACAGATTCTTAACACGCCAGTATATCATTGCCTCAAACAATCTTATATATAATAGTACAGTTTTCAGGTTCCTCAACGCGCCACGTTAGCATTTTGTGGGCCCTATACATTTAATTTTTAATACTATAAAATTTTGCCACAATGTCTTTTGACAAGAATGAGAACATGGCCGAGTGGTCTAAGCTGCCAAACTAAATGTTCGCTCCGCAAGTGAATGGGTTCGAATCCCACAGCTCCCATGTTTTTTAAAGCGTTCATTTTTGGGTAATTTTTTATATGTGCCTAGATATTGTCATATTATAATATAGATTTCTCCTTTATTTTAACGATGGACTTCGACATTTTCTGTTTGTACTAAGTATATCTTATATATAATAGTACAGCTTTCAGGTTCCTCAACACGCCACGTCAGCATTTTGTGGGCCCTATACATTTAATTTTTAATAGTATAAAATTTTGCCACAATGTCTTTTGACAAGAATGAAAACATGGTCTAGTGGTCTAAGCTGCCAAACTAAATGTTCGTTCTGCAAGTGAATGGGTTCGATTCCGTAGCTCCCATGTTTTTTAAAAGCGTTCATTTGTTGGGTAATTTTTTATATGGGCCTAGAAATTGTCATATTATAATATAGATTTCTTCTTTTTTTAACGATGAGCTTCGGCATTTGTTGTTTGTACTAATTCTAACTGGGCCTCGTCATATTGGCCCGAGAACAAACTTATGGCCGACTTCTGATTTATGTCTTCGTGGACTTTGCATTTGGCCTGATACTGAGTAGGGTAACCGTATTCGTCGCGAATTTTCGTTATCTGATGGTTCATCCTCGTCCTTCGTCAAGCCTCATGCGTCCTTTCAGTAGATCCAATTATTTCATTCCCTTCTCCATTATTAATTTCCCCATAACTTCAACAACTCAAGCGTTTCGTAACCAAAAAGGGAGACGATTATAAATAGTAGAGGCGTCAGCACCGACACCTACATCTCATACCCTTATTCCGCTGTTCTCCTATCTGCAAGTTATTCCAACAGTGTATGCCGCCGGAAATGCTCTCGCTTCCCCAGCCTTGGTTCACGAAAGCAAGTTTGATGATTTTAGTCTTAGATGTTTGGGTGGTACGGCTCCGTTTGATATGTAAGCCCAATATTCATGATTCCAGTTTCGTCGAAGCTTTGTGTATTTAATCCTCCAGCTCTGTCGTTGTCAAAGCTTGAATTCGTGTAATTTAGGATCTCAATTTGTTCCACTTTTGTAATTGTTTGTAAAAAAATAGTTGAAAATGGTATTTGTTCGTATGATTGGTAGTAAGTATTGTCGTATATTTATCCTCACTGATGTCATTTGACTGATTGCATGCAAGACAAGAGTATCTTAGCATTTCCAACCCGTCTGAATACTCCTTCAAAGTTCTCTTAAGCATTGATGCTAACAACTCTTGCATTTGTTTGTGTCTTAATTTATTTATGATATTAACATTAATGGTATATACTTTATGACCTAAATTTTGTTGATTTACTGATATAGAGTTTGAAGCTTCACTGCTGTGAGGAGATAGACCTAGACTCTGTCACCATCAAGTTACACTCCGTCACTACCAAGCGGTTATGGGAGGAGGAATCAAAGCCCAAGCTCTAAACAAGTGTTTTGGTTTGCAATCTACGCCATGATTGGAGGTGACATATTCTTAAAAAAACATTTGACATATTTTTACTTCTCTTCAGCCATTTTATTTAAGACACCATTAGTTTTTAGATACTTGTTAAAAATAGTTAAGCATGAGGTTATGTTATCTTTTGAATTTTTTCAAAGTTAATATATATCTCAGACTCCTCTTGATATGCTTGGTTTGATGATCATTTGTTTTATGATAAAATAAATATACGAGATGGGGGATTTTTGGTCATGGAAATTATTCTCAAGCTTCAACGACTGATCTTCAAAGCTAAACAATGAAGAAAAGTGAGCAAAATAGCTATATATCCCCCGAAAAAAGCAACGAAAAACAACTTTTATTGACCTTTTAATTCATTTGTTTATAGTTTTGGCTTTTATGACTAACTCCAGTGTGTAATATAGTTTTTCATTTCGTGGCATATGGCAAGTTATGTTTATCCGTTTATACTCCTTTCCACGAAAGAAATATTTCAGAAGGTCATTTGAGTCGTTTCAATCATTTCAAAGAAATTTAAATAATTTTTTCACTAAAGTTTGAATGTGTGTACATTTGTGTCATTGTACATGATGAACCAGATAAATGTTTCTTTTTTTTTTTGATGCAAAGATGCAGAGAACAAGATTCAACCGAAAATTAATCTAGAAATAAGCCATATTTATTGCACTACAAAAAGAAAAAAATTTGATTTAAGAACCCAAAATTATGTTTTTCAGTTCTCCATTTTATGTCTATATGACTATTTCATATATGAAACTATAGAAAGTTTATTCTGTCCAACAAAAAAAAATTCCAATATTTAGTTACAAGTCAACCCCATGAACTTTTTAAAAGAAAACTTATTAACTGTTTGTATATGTTAAATTTGAAAAAAAAACATTTTTACTACCACAGTTTCATTAGTATAATTACAACTTAAAATGTTCGGTAAACTATGATAATGAGATCAATACTACAATAAATGGTCGACCGAATCATTATAAATATAAGATATTCAACTAACCTCAAATATAAGTTCACTACAAATACTTATATTGTATTAAGTAAGAATTATGATTTTCAATAGTTCTTTCAATCATTATCATAGACACATGACAACCCATAAAATGCTCAGTAACACATGATTTAACAATAAAACTAAACAAAAAAATACCAAAAACGTCACTGACCATAAGCTCGCGCAGAGACTATAGACTATGCAACTAGTTTATCAAAAAAAGAAACATTGGAAAAACGACAAGACCTTATGAGTATAGTGTAATAGTATTATAATAAAGTAAATATGTAAGTTTTGGTCAATGATTCCAATTAGTCACGGTGCAACACAGATGATTATATAAATAATCTAAAATTATATATATATATATATATATATAAATCTATTATATATAAATTTTAAAATTTTCAATACTATGTTTTTATATTTTAATTTTACAAACTCACTCAGCGCAAAACGCCTTAATATAATATTATTTGCAATTTTGCACCGAACTCTTTGGGAGAATCTTTTATGTGTTCTTTTTAAGTCCTAAGACCAAAACATAGCCGACAGGGGTGGCAACCCTTATGAAGATAATACACTTCCAAACACTACCTAGATAAGACTAAACCAAACAAAATTAAAAACTAGGATGATAACTTAAAAGCACTTGAGAACCA